TACAATACAATGCAGGCTCAACGGCTCTATCCTAGGCTTCAGTCAAAGCTGCTGCCGCAAAGCCCCCGCCTAAACCCTAGGCCCTAATCTTTAAACCCCCCAACAACCCAGGACCTATCCCGCCAGATTTGCTGCTCAAGTAGTTCGAGGACGAAAGAATATGCTGGCCCAGCAACCCAGGATCGAAGTGCCTTGGCTCTCCCACGAAGCGATGCCCTGTCCCAGCTTCACCTGCATCATGATCTTTCGGTAAAGGATATTTCTGAGTTTCAGATTTCTGGAAGCCTCGTTGGCTCTCGCTTTCTGTCACTTGAGGCCCCTACCAAATACCGTGGGCTGCTAGAGCTGCTGAGCAATGCGGTTTCGACTGACTCGTGGGACGATGCGGAGCTGTGGTCAGTGTACAGATATGCTTTCGGAAGCAAACACTTAAATCTCCCTGCTGAGCTGAAGCAAGCAATGCCTCGCTGAGGCAATGTGCCTCGATGTGTCGATTCATGATTTCTTGGCAGCGAAAACTAAAATCAGGGTCCCAGTTCAGCCGTTTTTACCCAATACTCAGCCGTTTTTACCCAATACTCAGGCGTTTTTACCCGTATAGGCATTTTTTGCAACTCGGCTGAGTCACGAAGTGCTGCTGCAGCGCTTGCATTTGTTCGGAAAGCCTGTTGAGAGCTTTGGTTCTGAGGCCTAGTGCCAGAGCTGGTCTCTCTAGAGGGTCCAGGAAACTATGAGCTTCATGAGCAATGCTCATTCGACAGAGTCGCTGCAGCGGGGCCTCGACTTAGTCCGCTTGAACTCGTTGCGAGTCTCTGCCACTTATGATCCCGAAGTGGAAGAGTTGGAGCGAGAATTGAAGGACACACCCCTTGGTGAGTGAACTGTTCATGAAACCTCGCAGCCACGACAAACCCTTAAGCTGATGTGTAACAATCTCCGAAGGAGCTCAAGGAAGAGGTCACCCAAACTGCCGGGCCCCTCACCGATGCTGTTCTTGATGGCTTGGATGACGAGGAGCTGCAGATCCTGTTCTGGGCCCAGGCAGGATGTTATAAATCTGAAGAGTCGAAACGACCCTTCATGGCCAACTGCTTGTTCCGAGGCTCCTGCTGCCGATGTGCGAGCTACGAAGATTGAGCCCGAAGAGCCGAACCCTGGAAACACTATCCCTGCCTTGGCAGCCCCAGTGATGCCAGATCCCGAAGCACCTTTGTGCGCAGACGCACGTGAGGAAGCTACTCAGGTGGAACCCGCGATGGTACCAGAACCTTCGAGCACAGACACACAAGAGGCTACACAGAGGGAACCGGAAACGCCACCAGGACGTTTGAGCACAGGCGTTTCGAGCACAGACGCACAAGAAGCTACACAGAGGGAACCCGAAACGCCACCAGGACCTTTGAGCACAGGTGCGCTAGAGGCTACACAATTAGAGCCCGTAACGACAACACCAGGACCGTTGCCTAGCCCGCCTGAATCCCCAAAACCAGGCAAGCCTGCTCAGNNCCCACTCTGCAGGCCAGCCTCTGGGCCCCAGGCAGTCGGATGATCTCTTCTCGTCAAACGACGAGTCTGAGTTTGCAGTCCACAGCAAACCACCTCCAGAGCTCACGAAGGCTGCTATCAAGCAGCGCATCAGAAGAATCTTCACACCAAGGGCTGACGGCTCTTACTTAGTGGGGGAAGACTTTGTGCGGCAATGGGCTGACAAGTCCGAAGGCGGTGGTAGAGACAAGATGATGGCACTGTTTGAGAAGACGGCTTATCATCGGGTAGGGGCCTCGAAAATGTCGTTATGTGCTTCTACTTGCATCGGTTGTTGATTGCAAACTCTCAGGAACAGTTTATCAAGCGGTGCAAGGCCATCGCAGAGTCTATTGAGGAGGAAAGCTTCGACATCGAAGGAGAGTTTTTGACTCTCAACGACATGGACCGCCTTAACTTCTCAGAGCTACTTGCTTCGCAAGCAGTGAGAAGGTGGTTCTGATTGCGAGGGATCACATTAAGTGCTCAGACCTTGCATGGTATGCATCTGTGCCCAAAAAATCCTAAACCCGAACCCTAAGCCCCAAGCCCTCTACTCCGTGCAAGCACACTCACAAGCAAACCATAACACCCACCAGCACACAACCGCAGCTACAACCACAGAAGCAAACAAAGACACTATCACCCAAACACGCACCCATAAACCACCGCCGACAACAACACCAGCAAAAGCACCAGCAACA